CTACTCCTCAAATGAACTCTATGCCAGCATTTGACCTCAGACAATAAAAAAAACAGTGATATTAAGATTATAAAAACGGCTGCATTGCTTTTACGACGGTAAAAATATGACTGAAATAAAACGATATATCCATCCACTTAACCACTTAACCAGCTGGGATCCCAGCTAACACTGGGCGAGAGGCTGGAAACATCCGAAGCATCTTGCCCATCCATTGTCAGTTCATTATCATTTGGAATTTTTCTTATCTATGTATTTTCTGTTTATCTTTTATCTATGCCTTCTGTATTTCAACTGTCTCTGCATTTTGATAACTAACACAAAATAATGTCCTTAATTTAAATTCACATGTTCAAAAAGTAACCAACACTACTGTAAATCGCATAAAAACAAATAACACAAATGTACAGCAACAGAAGAACAAAGCCCTAGAACTAGCTATATTGAGATATAAAGTTAAAATATTTAGGGTATTGAGTTTGGATGTTGATGAATATCAGAAAATTTCCTGTCCATTTAGTTAAAGTAAATTTTGTATGATTTGATGTATGCTTATAATTGATCCTGGTTATAGGCAAAGACTTCACAAAGAAAACAATGCAGCCACCCTCCTAAGGGACTACATCTCTAAAAACATCCACCCTATTCCATCTGCCTGAATTCCCTTCCCATCTCCCTCCCAACCGTCTCCCAAGAGAACAATCAGCCATCTCAGCAAGATCCTTTTAGCTGCTCTCTCTTTTTCCCTTTCCCCCGTTCAACCTCTTTCCTGCTTCTCTCTCACAACTGCATTCCTCCGTCTTACACAAAGGCAACAGAAGGTACGCATCAGGAGTCAGGATTCTCTGTGAGAAACATAAAGCGAGTTAAACGATGATTTTCAGTCGAATCACGTAAACAGGTACAGTAGTAAAAAGGATACTGACACAGAAGACAGAAGGAAAACCTATTCCCCAAAACAAGTTTCTAGAAATATATTGTGTCTAACCCAACACTCTGTCATGCCAAAAAGCTGAAGAAAGGTCTGTAATTCACGGGATTTCTACAGCGCTTCAGAGAATCTGGAGAACCTGGAGACCATGGCATTTATCCAACACCAACTCTAGAACAACTACAGTAAACAAACTACAGCCCAATTCATTCAGAACAATAGTAACAAGATAATAGATTATACAGGCATGCGACTGACACATTTGCAATCTTAAAGTTAGAAAGAAGCATGGATCTTACCTGTGTCAGGCTCTGAGAAAGCTGCTACATGACCACTGCAGTGGTTGTTTGCTAGAGTGTAAAAAGTTACTGATAAACCAGATGTAATCGATGCATGTTGACAGATGCAGTAGCCTTTCTCGGTATTTTCTGTTCCCCATTTTCCCTGGCAAAACACTTGAGTGTCATGTATAAAATTAAAGTGTTCATGTTATTTCCTCAAACTCTTACTTCCACTTTCATTCTACAAATGATACCAATTCCAATTTAATTCACACATTTTTTTCTCTGTATTTCAAGAGTCAACGGATTTACCTCATGAATTTACATATACAAGTGGAACAAGTCATGCTCTGAATAACACACCACTCATTAGCAGCCACTGACACAACCTAATACAACAAAACGTCATAAGGTACCTGCAGCACAAAAAATTTAAGCTGTGATTTGGTTAAAATGTAAAATGAGTTCGCAGTAAGTTAGTAGACTGAGAATATAATGCTATTTATACAAAACATATATATAAAATTTGGCTATGAAAGTTGGGTGTAGACGACCTGCATCTTGACTGTACTGTTTAATCACTTACTGATGATGCTGATGGATGCTTTTCTAAATATTTTTGCCATATTCACTTTCAGTGTTCTATGACCAAAGTGCTTTTTAAAAATAATAAAATTTATGTAGTCATGCTAAGTGTTCATATTCCCATGCTGTTGTGAATACACCACAGGTCGAACAGAAAGTATAGAAGTGAATCATACATACGATTTCACCCCCAGTGGATACATCGCCAACCCTGTGTACTTTTCTCCTGAAAGTTTACCCTCCGTTGTCGGCTCGTCTACGTCAAAAGTACTCTCTTGCAGAAGATCAACTACGTAGCAGAGATAATTGAGAGCTGAAGATCTTTTACTGTGTCAACTTCTCAACATATCTGACACAACGACCACAAACTTTTCAAAATACATCACAAACCTTGGGTTTAAAAAATCAAAAACGTATTTTTTAAAATCATATATATAACCATTCCTAATATACCGTTAAATGTACAAATTCTATCGCGATAGCGCTTCGCCTCAAGACTTGTGTTTTCCTTGCGGAGGGAGTCATCTTTCTTTGAATAGACGATCCTGTTAAGTCCGCGTGCTGCTGCTTTGACCAATCAGGGGAGTGCGGGTAACCGTTGGGGTTTGAATCATCCCCAGAAAACAGCGGCAGATGACAGTAGCTCGTTGAGCTTGTAGATACTGCTAGCGAACATATTTGGTTCACATTATTCAATATCAGCTCTTTGAAGCTCAGTTTTGTTGCTTTTGTCAACTGAAAATGTCGAAAAAACAGATTTTCTATTCTGACAAGTACACCGATGACGACTTCGAGTACAGGTATTGTGTTTTTAACGTTTTCAAGAGTCCGTTAATTTAGTTCCGAGTAATAAGCTAAGGTCAAAGTAGCTTTTGAACGTGGTGGAGATAACTTATTGCCGCTGTAAATTGAGACTTCTTGTGTTAGCGTTAGCAGTTGATATTAAAATATATCAAAATAAACTGTCTGACCCCTAGTAGGCAATTAACAATATGTTTGTTATATTTCCATCCTCAGGCATGTTGTGCTTCCCAAGCAGCTGTCCAAACTGGTGCCCTCCTCCCACCTGATGACAGAAGAAGAGTGGAGAGGACTTGGAGTCCAACAGAGCCAGGGCTGGATTCACTACATGATCCATAAACCAGGTCAGTAATCACGGTGTGAAGGATAAGTTCACATTTTTCCTCAGTCTTGTCTTGAAAATTAAGTCAGACGCCCATGTGTGCATCTAAAGAACTACAAATTGACGTCATCATTCTTTGAATCTAAGGTGGTGAAAATACCACGTTTCTGTGTATTTGTCAAACCTTTGGAAAACTATGAAGCACAGTAAAAGCAAATATGTGTTTTAGGGCTCTTTTCTTTTTTTTGTTTTAAACCAGACATTTCACCATCTGTTTACTGTCACTTGAGTAGGAAAGCGTCTCCAGGGAATGATCAGGGTTGCTATTATTAAAAAAAAAAAAAAAAAAGCTATAACAGCCTCCCCTCTGTCAGTGCGCCCCACGGCAGCTGTGGCTACATTGTAGCTTGCCATCACCAATGTGTGAATGACTGAATGTAAAGCACTATACAAATACAGGCCACTTACCATTTACAGGCCATAACATTGCTCACTCTACGCTGAAGCCTTTAGCTTTAGCTCAGCCTTTTTACATGGGGTGTATTCTATTGGCCATTATGAACAGATCTCTTCCTGGTATATGTATCAAAGAAGAGGGATGACTATATCAGGGTGATTTTCATGGTGACCCTATATCAGGGCCAAACTCATAAGAGCCTAGTTTGATCTTGTGTGGGTAAGAAGTAGTACATCCACAGGAGAGATGGTCGAGACCCTGAGAAACCGTAAGAAAAATAAGCACAATTTCAAGAAGGTGTTTTGTTTGTTTGTTTGTTTTAAAAACAGCCAGTACCATTATGACCCTATAGAACCTTGTTATTGTTGGTAAAAATAAACAAACATAAGAACGTTTTTTGACATCCATACCATTTCAATTATTATATTTTATAATTGCCCTTGTATACAGACCCACAATGTTTCTGTTTCAATGTTTCTTATGCATACAGCATGTGTATATAGTTTCACTCACATATGTATACATATATATTGCTTTTTATTTTATTTATTTCCCCCCTTGTTGTATATTGTTTTCTCTTCTTATTTTTGCACGTTTGTGGTCCAGCTACCCAATTTCACTGTGCAAGAAACAACACAATGACAATAAAAAGCTCTAAGTCTAAAATTTCAGGTTATTGTCTCAAGATTTTGACTTACTAACTCAAAATTCTTATTTTTTCAACTTCAAAAAGTTGATAACAAAATTTTGACATGGCTCTGCATTTGCTGAGCTGGATTTGGCCCCTGTGTTTGAAACCCCTTCATTATACTTTCAACAGCATATGAGTATTGTGCTAAAGTTGACATAAGAATTGAATCTGTCATTGTACAGCTTCTACACTGCATTATTTGGCCGCGATCAAATTTGGGTGTAGACGACGTACAGCTGTAGGCTTGACTGTGTTTGATGACTTACTGATGATGCTGACAGATCCTTTCTTGCTTTACTCCCTAGAGCCACACATACTGCTTTTCAGAAGGCCTCTCCCAAAGGATTAAAGGGGAAGCTGTCTGTTAAAATACCTGCTATCTCCTCTGCTGATATGTATTTTCTTTCGATCCTATATCTGTCCTGCACATAAATCTATATGTGTTCTGATATATTGTGTAGATGCCCTGTAGTTTTGTGTGTATATATTTTTGTGTTTCTTCATTCAAATTTCCTCAGTTTTTAGAGGTTATGAGAGACAAAAATGTCTTGTTTTCACTGTGAATGATAACTTAAAACAATTTGAAGGTGGAAGTTTGCCTGTCAATTGTACAATTTAACAATTTTTTTTATCTTTAGGTGTAATGTTGTCAAGACTGATCTATTTACTTAATGGCCATATGAGCATATGATTTTTATTTTGCTCAAACCAATGACATCCCTAACATTTTTCTTAAAACATTTCTTGATAATTCCTTAAATGTATGTATTTTATGTGCATATGTTATTTCTTGATATACATTTGGCTCTCCGTTATGGTTGATTTGTCAAGTTCTTTGATACTGGACAAATAAAATATGCTAATTCCTTAATACTTGCTGCTTTTCTTTTTATTTAATTGAAGGATGATGTAATTTTCTCTCAGATGACTGTTTAGTCAGAAATATTGACAATAAGTGGAGTAACAAATTCTGAGTGTCTGATACCCAGGGAGTAGGCTGGTGCCCGGGCCTTGTGGACTGTAACTTTCTCTGGATTATATGTTCCTGGACCTGGTTTCTTGGTGCCATCTCTGGGTAAACTGTGACGTCCCGACATGGAAAACGCTGGCCGTCGGAGCAGATAAACACTTGGGTCTGTACTATTGTATCTGCAAGGCGCAGGAGTCTTGGCTAAATCCTCAGATGGTCCCCCTATGCTGAGACCACCTGATATTGTGTAGCTTGCACTGGATGCCTTGTTTGGGACTTGAGCGCCCATAAGTGGCGGTAGAGAGTACTTGTTGGGAGCTGGGACCGAGTCAACACTGCGGTAGTGTGTGCGATAGCCCATGGTGTAGGATGGAGGTCTGCGCTGCAGGTTGCATGGTGGGGCTCTCTCAGGGCTGTATGCACCGGGTCCTGGTGTGTGGAAAAGCTCCTCTAGTGAGCAGAAGACAATCACATGGGGTTCTCCAGAAGAGTCAAAAGTACATGTTTTCTTCACTAATCTATTGATCTGACTGATATACAATATGTCACAATTAATTTTAAAATAAACTCCAATAATGAAGGAAAGCATACTTACTCTGGGCTTTGACTTTACCCAGCATTGAGTATGCAGGTGTGCCATCCTTTCCAAATCGAGTGATTCTTGCATCGATGTGATACCGAGGCCCTGGACTGGAGTCAACACTATACACTGTTAAAAATTAATTGGATAATTACAAATGTATATTTTTAAAAAGTAAACTTCTTTTCATTCTTTTTGCTTAGTTTGATTTGATTTGATCCTGAAAATCTGTAGATGCAGTTTAAAAAAATAAAATAAAATAACAAAAAGTGAAGAAAAACGTCTTGTCTCCACCTAGTGGTTGAATTTGACATCACACCAAACGGAAATTTTTGTGAGATCATTTTTACAGGAGAGGAAATCATTGTGAAAACAAAGACATAAACGATATAAATTACTGTACACAAATTCTGTGAAATGTGTGTATTGGTGACTGTAATGCTTTCAGCTAGTTTGTGTCCTAAATCAGCAGTTTGACGAAAAAAAGGTGTTATTTAGTTAGTCATAGAATAAATAAAAAGAAAAAAATCTGCAAAAAAAAAAAAGTAAAACTTTAGTTAGCTTTAAGTTAAACTTGAAAACTAGCCCTCAAAGTACCCACTTCTGATAAACCATAAAGCAAGAGCGGGGCTCACTATTATCAGTCATCCTTCCATGGAAAGTGTAGGCAGGGCTAGTTGACTTTGTGAAGTCATGGCCAATAAATCCAATAGTGGGAGGAAGCCCATAGCGACCAGGTCCAGGCCCTTGAAACAGCAGAAGATGTCACAAAGTTGCCATAACCTCAAAATACACGTGTCTTAAATTACATCCAGTTTACAAAAATCATACATGTGGAAAATTCTAAAGTGACAGTGGCTCCTTTGATTGTGAACGCAGCTTTATGTAAGGTTCTCTGCAAATAAGGAGGTCTGTATAATTTTGCCTAAGATAACTAGACAATACAAATTAATATTCATGTGAATTTTAGAGATTAGCCTTCCAGTTTTCAGCCTTGAATGAAACACTATTATGCACACTATGTCAAACAGCTAACAAGGTGGGAGCATTTTTTCACAGAGTGGAGCAAGTCCTGACAGGTCTGCCCACTGCAAAACGACCCACTCTGCTTAACTGCAGTATATTAAGCTACTGATATTTATTTGTAAATATTAATTTACATTTTAAAAAAGAACCATGATCGTTATTCAAGATGACTTACCTTTTTCTCGTCCAGCAATTACTGGGTATTTTTTCTCCATCTTACTCTTTGCAGAATTGATAGTTACTTCAGGAGTCCAGCAATGGTAGTAGTTCTATAGAAGTATCAGATTGCTCTGGGCATTATATGCTCGTAAAATCATTTAAAAATAAATAAATAAAAATAGCTGAACTGGGGGCTTTGCACAGGTAATGTCCCTTTTCAGCTAAAAGTGAGGCAGGCTTCAGGAAATTCAGTCATCAGATCCAGAGGCGCAAGTGATTCCTTCATTCAGGCTGCTCTTGGTCTATTGTCTGTTTCTTTTTTGTTAGATATCTGTGCTTCCTCTTGATCCAGCATCACCAAAGCCCCAGGTGACTTTAGAAACCCAGAACCCTGCCTGATCTAGGATCAATCACCAATTTCCTCCAAAGCAATCAGGAAACCTGAGACCTATAATGCTTGTCAAAGTGTCAACAACAGAGGAGGATCTACCCTGGATAGGGTTTACTCTGTCTGCCCCTTTGTCCAAATGCTTCATCAGTGGATGCTTGGACAGGTCATTAGCCCTTCCTCCATGGGGGTAGGTGTATAGGTGCACTCAGCTGGCACTTAGAAACAATGTCATCACTCCGACTCACTCTCATGTAACGCTAGCTCGCTCCCCCCGCAAACCATGAAACCAAGATCCCCCTCTCTGTCCTTTCTCTTTTGACTCTTTCTGCTCATCACAGCGTGGAGACGCAATATCACTCTTCAGCCATGCGTACAGTTGCCACGGAGACTGCTGTGGGTAGCTTGCTGCAGCCTGGTCCCCTGCACCGCTGCCTCGTTGTCACAACAAGAACAAAGTTTTCCATTCAGAATGAGCAGCTACATCAGCTGTCACTGCTCAGAGTTTGATAACTTCAAATTTGGCCTCACGCTGCTGACGGTACCAGATCTCTATACAGTGCAGCCACATGGCTTTATATTATTTCTGTAAGTACGAACGCAGAGAGAAGATGAACGGACAAGCACAGCAACGCTTTGATGCAGAGTACACGCTATAAAACCCCAAACCAGAGTCAAATGTAGTGCAGCACACATGAACCTGTATTTTGGCATCTCCCGTTGAACTGATGGAATACACAGTGAATTAACAACCCCTGATTTATCAACCTTAACCTCGAGCCAAGCACACTTTCCAGACACAGTTATGTGTTGATTTGATTCGGTTTAAAGGCCTGAGCTGCCAGTTTCCAGAGACAACTGTAACCAAGAGGGTCGACAAGTGACGTGCAGTAAGCAAACATTAAACTTTCACAGGCTTTAACTCTCTCCTGGGGGTGCCCTCCTTTGGCAACCTAAATAACACCAACACATTAAGGCTCAAACATGTGCAAGTATGCTGCTATCCTGTATATATCTTACTTAGTATTGGTTGAATACTTGGGATTGTTTTATTGTACTTTTTATATTTTACATTTATATTTATTATTGAATCTTGCACCAAGGGAGTGGCACTCCAATTTTGCTGTACTCTGTACAATGACAATAAAGGCTATTCTATTCTATTCTATTCTATTCTATTCTATTCTATTCTATGCAGTTAGGTACAAATTCACACACACTAACATGCTTTCTGTCTCTAATGCAGCTACATACAAGGAATAAGAGAGTGAAAGCAGAAGGCCCTTTGAAACAGCTGAGTATAATACAGTTGACTGCTGACTTCACCGTCCATTTAAGGGAAATGGAGCAACACATCTCTCATAAAGAACTGCACTGCAGCTCTGCTAGTTGAAAAAAGAGACGCGTACTGTGCTGCAGATGCAGATATCTCAGTGAGTCAGTTGGAGAAACACAGGTAGTGAAGTAACAAAACCAAAGGCCTAAACTGCATACAAATTTTATTCTCATTTGTTTTAAAAATCACAATATTTGATATCGATCTGGGTTACATTTGATCAAATTTGGTACTTTTACAGAAATCAAAACTTCATTCTTTATTATTCTTTAATATTTTTAACTTGACTGCTTCAAAGATCAAAATTGAACAAAAAAATAAAATAGCTTATGAGCTGTACAATCAAATCTCAATGGTGAGAGGAGATGCTGGTATCTTGGCAGAATAGTTTCAGAAACACTACAGCTGGGTCGAACTGTAAAGTCAGAGTCGGCCAGAGGCCTTTGTTGCATGCCAGTCCCCTTCTGCCTCCTTGTGTTTCTTGTCAATCTCTACTCTGCTGTCTAATAAGACAAAAATGCCCCCCAAAAATCTTTAAAATGAAAAACATTTCAGCTTATGTTTCCGTAAAGCATATGGTTAGCATATGTCTGTTTTCCAGCAGGATACCAGAAGAGGAATTTCATCAAACATTGCAATAACTGGGTTAAAGCTTGCTATGAAAGAAAAAGAAAAATGCCTTGGATAGTATAGCATACATCTTAAAAATCCACAAGGGGCAGGTAGATTGTACTGAGGGGGCGACTTAGAAAATAAAAATGATATGATCTCTATCTAAAAATAAATACCACAGATAGAAAATATAACAAAATACGTTGCATAACATCAGGTGTAATTACAAACATAAATACTTGATTATTTCTTCTAGTGATTATTAAGGCAGTACAGTGATTAACAAATATGATATTGTGCCTATTGATTACTAGGAGTCTAGAGGAGGAAAAATACAAGTCTGGAGGATACTAGCTTAATAAAAAACGTACACAGTCACATCCAAGCGCACACACAGGCTTATAAATGCATCCACTCTGACTCACACAAGGTCAAACACTCATTCTCCAGACCCCCCATGTCGTCCTTTCAGCAAGTCTCTCTTCTCTTTCCATTCACTAGCATATTCACAAATAATGTACAATTCGGAGGTGGGTATGGCTTCACTCTGGGAGTGTTTCTGTAGATGACAAGAAAACAGAACACATGTTCTTTAAAGGATCATCTTTAACTCTTTATCCCTTGAAAGCCTCCTAGGAGTAACTCTTGAAGCCTTTAAAACAAAGTGACTGGGTTTTTATCAAAAGTAAGTGAGGACAGTCTCTCCCTGTGCAGCTGCCCTTTGGAAAAACTGGAAAGCTAATGGTCATCAAACCACTTTATTGATATATGCCGAGGTGTCATTTGGGAACAGGGGGGATTAAATGTCCTCTTTATAGGGGAAAGTCTTGCTGAAGTCTGTGGAGACATAATATTGGGAGATGTACAACTGCTTTTTTATTCCTTTAATATTATTACCAAAGATGAATATATCCACAACAGACTCTTCCAGATACCTGGAAAACATCAGAGAGGTCTACTAATCCAAAGTCTGTTAAACAAATACATCAAAGATGTAGCTCATACCATCGCTCAGGGGTGTTTTTTGTGTCCAGTGTGGGTAGCTGGGAATCTACTGGCAGGAGCACGTTATGCTCCACACCCCTGCTGCCTTCAGGAAGATCAAAATGGTCCCCTCCCTCTGCATCAGCAAGGAAAGGATCAGAGTCTGGGTCGTATTCATAGGAGTAGTAGGACACCTCTGCCATAGAGCCCTGCTCCTCTTCGCCTGGAGAGAACAGGGTTAGTGAGAAACACAGAGACAAGGTAGGCGAGATAAAAATGAAAGTTTTGGCTGTCATGGATACTCTAAAAATCTGTCCTGATGTGAATATATATATAGTTGGTGTTGTACTACTATACTAAACTACAGGGGGTGGTAATGTGCCACGAAAAACATCAATGTTTCAACACAGGGATGAGGAAGACTTTTAAGAAGTAAATAGTGATGTAAACTGTGAGAAAGAAAAATGTTTTTAGACCTGCAGGATGCAGATCGTAATCCTGGCTAGCAACACTAAATCTAAACCTAACCCTGCTGGCTTGCGAGACAGCTCCACAGGACACCTCTAATATACTGCACATCTGGACCTCTTGAGGAGCAATACCACATCACACACAGCAGGGGTCGCACCTTGCTTAAAATGTTGTCTCCTCGTATAAGCGTGCTAGGCTTGAATCGGTCTTTTCAAGGTATAGCTTTATGAAAGTTCGCTTTATTCTGAGTAGCCTGCAATCAGAGTTTCCTTCTTTGAGGCCTGCAGCACATATGGTGAGAGTTAAACAAATTCAAGACAAATATGATGTGGGAATTTTGTAAAGTCTGTAACCAAAAAAATGTATGTATGATGACCAAAAATCAGCTGAAGGAATGCCTGTATAGGTATTCTACTGTATGTTGTCCTCTGGCAGAAGGTCACCAACATGACAAGTCTGCACAAGGAAGCTAATTCCAGAGCTCCAGCGTCCTCCGCTGTTACACTGGAAACTGTCAGGTTCATGGCAAGACTCACATTCACCCATTACACTCTCGGTGCACTTATCTGGCATGTAGTGAACATTCTAATGGTTTACAATGACAGTGTTTTTACAGTACTTATTCAATCTAATCACCCCAGGGTTATCTTATTCTAGATGAGTGTGCACGTGTGTCTCTGTGTGTGGGCAAATATCTGCCTGTATGGACATGCAGGAAGTGTATGCGTTATGTGTGCACGTATAGATATGTGTGTGCGTTTGTGTAAGTGCGAAACAACATTCCAGTGGTGAGTGTGAAGCATTGGCTTTTGTACTAAGGAGACCTTTGAGTGAGAGAAGCTTTGTGAACTGCAGCTACCGAGGGTAGCGGGCTCAGCAACAAGTCAGTGCAGGCTGTGCCACACACACA